ACACACACACACACACACACACCCTACCCCTCTCTGTCTCGGCACCTGCTGGCTGTGTGTCAGGGACAGATGTGCCTTGCAGTACTGACATCTCCATCTGTAACGCACTGAGCATGTGCCTCCCCCCTCCCCCCCGCCAGGGCCCACAGCAGCCCCGCCCTCCGGCGAATCTGACAGGCAGCTCAATGCGGGACCCCCCAGTCCCCCGCCCCCCGAGGCCCCAGCTGAGCAGCGGCGGGTGTCAGGCGACGGTCCACGGGCCAAGGAGCCCGCCCCGCCCCCCCCCCTCGAGAAGCCTAAGCCGAGCGAGGGCCCGTCCGCCAAGAAGAACCCCAGCCTCCTGAGCAGCATCCGGCCCCCCCTCAGCATGAAGGACGGCCCCCACAGCCTCAATGGCAAGACCAAGCCGTGGGAGAGTGTCACGGCCGAGGAGTTTGCACAGCAGTTCCACGAGTCTGTGTTACAGTCTACCCAGAAGGCACTGCAGAAGCACAAAGGTTCATACTCCGCCCATCCCCCCCGCCGCCTGCCTCCTGCTGTCTTGTGAACATATCCAGCCTCTAATAGCCTTCCTTCCTTTTTGTTTTCACTAGGGGCCGCCGCCATCTTGGCCGAGCCCAGTCACAAACTAGACACCTCGGTGCACTACAACATTCCCGAGCTGCAGGCCCCCCCCGGCCGACAGCCCCCAGCGCAGGCCAACGGGCAGCACTGCCCACTGCCGCCTCGCCGGGAAGAGCTGTCCGACGAGGAAGACTCCGGAGACGAGGAAGATGAGGAGGAGGATGAGGAGGTGCAGAGTCCACGGTGGCAGGGCATTGAGGCCATCTTTGAGGCCTACCAGGAGTACATGGAAGGTGAGAGGGGCTTTCGGAGGACAGCCGCCGAATCCGGGGGCCGTTCAAGCTGCCGATCGCGAGACGGTGCTGAATCCTCATCTCCCTCTTAATGTCAGCTGCTAATTTTATTCTGACATAAGTGTCTCCGTGCTGCTCCATGAGAAGGAGAGGAGTGTTGCCACCCTGAGGGCAGCAATGCCTTCCCTCCTCTGCCTTAATCAGCCCATATGGCAGCTTGGGACGAGCAGGTGGTGTTCCTCCCTCTGAACACCAGAGGGCACTGTTCAACTCACTTCACACATTTTATGTTCATTAATAATAAATAATAATATGCTAAATACAATGTGTTTTTTAATTACTGCTCACTATTTGAAACAGGATCTCGATGTGCCTGTTTTCTGGCTCATATGATTAAAATATTTGGATCTTAAGATGCCAGGTGCTTCACGGTTTGAGAAATGAAAGCGTAATTTCTGAACAGTTTATGGATGTAAACTGGAGCGTGTGAGGTTTTGCCAGTCCTGAAGCGACCCACTGGCATCGTTTTGTACCAACAGCTTCCAGAAGGTATTAGTGCTCAGATACCTTCTCTTTCCAGAGACAGTCGTATATAAACATGCACACAGAAACGTATACACACACGAGGACACACGCGCACACACATGCACGCACACACGCACATGCACACCCTCTTCCTGCGCACTAATGAGACCCGGTTCTGTAGCCTGGATGCCTGGGGCATGGCTGGCCCACTCTCGGGTGATTAGCGCTTAGCCTGCACGACTGGGGCTGTCTGCTGCGATGGTAATGAGCACCAGGCCTTGTCCCCCCCCCACCCCTCCCCCCATATCTCCCAGAGCAAAGCATTGAGAGGCAGGTGCTTCAGAGCCAATGCAGGCGGCTGGAGGCTCATCACTACAGCCTGAGCCTGACCGCGGAGCAGCTCTCTCACAGCATGGGGGTGAGTCTCCCTCTCTGCACACGCGCCCCCCCCCCCATCTCCCTCGCTGTCTCCCCCCCACAGCATGCTGTCCGTGTTCCCTGCCTCCCCCACCCATGCAGAAACGCCTAACCGATTTCTCTCCTGTGAACAGATGTTCCTGTGCCCCCCTCCCATCCCCCCACAATTTCCTCTGCTATGAGATGCTCATTTTTCTTTCCTCACTTACTATATGCCACCTGTCCAGAATTTTAATTGGTCACAATTTGCTCCCGTCGCCGCCGCCGCCGCCACGGCGTCTCTATGGGGGGCGGCCGTGTGTCGGCGCCCCCCCCCTTCGCCAGGCCGCTCGTATCCAAGTTATTACAGGAAGTTACGGCTCTGCTGGAGAGGCTGAGCACCTGGCCACTAGCTCTTTAGATGGCTGATTAATAAGCCTGAGTGAGGAGCATGCCGGTGGCTGCATTGACCTCTCCCCCCTCCCCCTACCCCCCCGCAGGAGCTGATGGCCCAGAAGCAGAGACTGGCCTCCGAGAGGGAGAAGGTCCAGGCTGAGCTGGATCACTTCCGAAAGTGCCTGACACTTCCACTGGCTCAGGGGTCTAGGGGATACTTCAAGGGCTACCCCTCCAGGTGACCGGCCCCCCCCTCGCCCCTGACATCACCCCCTGACCCCGCCCCTGCCACCACGCCCCACAATGTAGCTCAAGAGTCTATTTTTTCACCTGGATTACTCAGAAAAAAAAGGAATAAAGCAAAACTCTTCACTGCGCAAAGGACCCAAGCGACAGCTGGCCGTGAACGTGCCATGTGCTGAGGGGGGTGCTGGAAGGGAGGGGGGGGATTGAGCGTCTGGTCTGGCCTGGGGAGGCACCCGGACCACATGGCCTGTGTGTGCGCCTCCCAAGCCGGTCCCCACCGCCCAGACGGCAGCCTGCTGATGGCCAGCATGCCGAGAGCCATCGAGCTACCAAGGCTCTTCAGCGACCGCCGCCGTGCAGTGGCAGCACTCTGACCCAGTGCCAGCGGCGGGGGGGTGCGGGGGGGGCAGGCGGCACCTCCGCCCAGCTCCAACGCACTGATCTGTGTTCAGCAACCCGCCCTCTGGGTTAAATGGGCTTATGACAGAAAATGCACTTAAAAACAAATCAAAATGAGTAACATTGGAAAGCTTCCTTGAGGTACTGCAGTCACACGGAACTTCTGTCGCTGTCAGATTAGGGAAGAACACACCAATGCACATTTTGGAAAGATTAAAGGAGATGTTTTATTACGAAATAGAAATTTTGAGAATAAATTTAAAGAGGCCCTTAAGCCTTGTAATGTAAATAATAATATTAAAATTTTTGTATGGTTTTATTACTTTAATCATTGTTCTTAAAAGCCTGCCATTTTTAATATGTTAATGCTTTTGGGCTTAAAAAAAAAAACTTGCTTTAGTGTTTACTGCTGCTGGTCAGGATAAAACAATTTTGAAATGTTTGAGAAGTACAAAAGAAGAGGAGCCTTTTCTACTGGTGCCCCCCCCCCCCCGTGCCGCGGTCACTCCGGGCCTGTAGCATTGACGGGGGGGTGGTGCTTATGAGGAAGCCCCCCCCCCCTCTCTCCCATAACCGGCCGCTGTCTCTGCAAGTCAAAGCTCAGGAGGCCCCTCCCACCCTATGGGCCGGTCCGTGTCCGCGGGGGGGAATGCTTACCGATACCAGAATGGCGGCAGCACCCCCATGGGTAGGTCTGTAATCAGTAGCAGCTTAGGAATCGCTTCTTTTTCCTGCCAAAACTCAGACAGTATGAGCTGCATGTTCCTGACAGTGTCCCTCTGACTGAGTGACCAGCACAGCCTGAGTGCTCAGGTTCATCTTAAAGGTACCAAAATTCACAGCCCTTCAGCATTTTTTTTACATAATAAGCAATACATATTAACTAGCAGAGCATTTGATGTCCACGCCGCTCACAGACTGGTATATGGGATATCACAGTTCATTTTATGCTCACAGACTGGTATATAGGATATCACAGTTCATTTTCCTCTTCATTCATGAAGCGTATAGTAGGAATCCCAGCAGACAGTTTGCATGCCACAGCCGTTAGTGACTCGTAGGCCTCCTTGTCAGTGACAGGGAGTTATGCCACGCCCCCTCCTGATCTCTTTTGTCTGAATTTCTGCAGGCAAGTTTAATGAGGGTAGAAGTGTGTGTCTGCTCTCACCACACAGTGCTGAAACCTGCCTCACTGTGACCTGAACCATTTTTATTTTGCCATTTTTTTTTTTTAATTGTGCCAAAATCATTTTAAGGTGGCCCCACATTGTCAAAGTGAGCACAGCGTACAAGGCATTACCGGCCACCCTTCTCAGCTACTGAAGATGATTTAAAGTGCCCTGCATTTTCCACTTTGTCCACCAGAGGGCTGACTTGCTCAAAATATACTGCAAGAAAGGCACTTGGGTTTCAGCAGATTATAATTTATTCCATTAGGCCTCACTCAAAAATGCACCCCCACTGAATAGTTTTATTTCTTCCCAATCTGGGGAAACTGTAATAAAAGGGGTCCAGCATAAGTGACATTTGTGAAATTTGCAAGCAATAGTTTATTATGTTACATTTCACAGGTTACAGCATTAATCAAGATAATGATAAAAATTGGAGCTGTCCTGCATGCACACTCTGCTCCTGGTCCGCTCTCCTACCCCTGCCTGGCCAGCTCTTTGCCCATGTGCCAGCCAGTCTCATGTTATCTGGGCACCTACTGCAGCCACAACATCCATACGCAGATTACACCCATTTTCAAAAATGCATCTGAAGGCTTTTTTTTTTTAATTGTTTTAATGCTGTTCCAGTTAGAGAGGACTGGGCAACATGCCATGTGACAGACACAGGAAGATGTTTACAGACCCCATGCAGAACTCTCATGCAGTTTAGTAGATAAAGGTTTAAGCACCACATCACCCACCAGCTGATGTAAAGCAAGAAGGTGACACCCCCCCCCCCTTAGTCAATGGAGAATGTTTAGATGCTGTGAAATCATGTTTTTAATTGTACTTGTTTGAATTAATTGTAATGTAATATATTCTTTGTTGAATGTAGTAATTAGGTATTTATGAATATATTGCTGTAATTTCAGACAAAAAGAAATAAATTACAAAATGTACATAAGCAGTTTGATTCTTGTCCAGTGAACATACACCCAATGAAGGTGAGGATTACAGCAACTGGACCAATCACATCAGAGTGGGGCACTGGTGAGCTCACACTGGGAAAACTGGCCACAAAATTACAGTGTCATGTTTCAGCATCACAGGAACCAGAAGATGCGACTGAAAGGGTGAAAGTGGCCAAGCGTGGGTCGCAAAGCAGCGTGACTCCACACGCCTGCTTACCAGGAACCCAGAGGAGCCCCACACAGCGGCATGCTGCAGTCTTCCTGCAAGACCTTCCCTGCTAATAATGGTGTCCCTTGGCCGCGGGCTGCGGCTGCAGGCTGGCACGCAGTTTGTACATGCTGTTCAGAGAGTCCAGGAGGAATGTCCGTGTGGTGTTGATCTCCATTAAAGTCAGGTTATCCAGCTACATCAACAAAACAGAATTTTTGTATGTGTTACTGAGGCAACATAGACCACCCAAAGATGCACGCAGCTGTTGTCTAAAGACCTGGACCCCCAGGGTGAGCTACACCCAGGGCGAGTGATCACTAAAGACAGCAATAGCTATGCAGCGGAGTAGCATTACAGGGCATAAGCTACTGCTTTACTGCATATAGTAAGTACATTTTTAATTTACTAGTCTTTTAATCATCAGTATGAATTTCATCCATTGTCCAACCCCTTTTCCAGTACCAAAGGCCTGGAGATAATCCCAGGCAGCATGGGGCACAAGGCAGGGTCCACCCAGGCCGGACGCCAGTCCATCACGGCTGCACATGTACACCGTCACACATGGTGGCCAATTTAGGGTCAACAGATCCCCCAAATGCAGGACAATGGGAAGTGGAGTACCCAGAGAAAAGCTATGGAACGCAGGGTGCGTCAGCAAAGTGCAGGGTGCGTCCGCAAAGTGCAGGGGGCGTCCGCAAAGTGCAGGGGGCGTCCGCAAAGTGCAGGGGGCGTCTGCAAAGTGCAGGGGACCAGAGCACAGCGCCGTCGGGACCCGCACCTTGGCGTGGGCCTCAAGCTGACTGATGAAGCTGTCGGCAGACAGACGCAGCTTGGCCACACGCGTGTCCCAGATGTCCTTCACCAGGGTGCGGATCTCGTCCGCTTTGGGGATGTTGTCTGATGCACTGCCGAAAGGGGACAGATGGTATGCTGAACACCTTATAGTGGGTAACTAAGCAGGTTAGGCAGAAACTAGCAAATGGACTGGATGACGTGTCACTCACTGATTGAGGAGCAGCTTAGTCAGCTCCATGTAGTGCGGGTTCGGAATCGGAGTGAAAGTCTCCTCCTTCCTTTCTTGCTCTCTGATTTCCTCTAGTTTTTCTGCCGTGGTGGGGGGGGGGGGGCAGTTAGTCAGTAACTGCATTAGTCAGTAATTTGCAGCCATTATGACGTTCAGATCTTTTCTTACCGACATCCATCCACTCTGGGGGCACGATCCTGCATTTCTGCCTCTGCTTCAGGTTGAGGGCCAGCCAAAGAGGCACATTCACAGGCAGCCCTGGGTTAAAAGGACCAAGGTCCCCCTACAGACATAACTAATCAATTATGGCAGCCAGTAGCCACAAATGCTGAAGTTACCAGGCTCACCAAGTTAGCTGTATACAATTTTTTTACCAAATAATAATACACTATTACTAGGGATGGGAATCACCAGTGACCTCCTGATACGATATCACGATACCTAGGTGTCGATTCCATATGTACTGCGATTCTATGGATATCCCAATTCAATACTATGAGTTTTTTTCTGTTATTTTTTCTTTTTTAGAATTTTAAAACCTTGTAAAGCATGTAAAAGAAAAAAATTAAAAGTTGAGCCATACCGCTAAAGCTTTATTCAATAGCTGCACAGCTGAACTTAACACACGTAACATGAGGGGTAGCACACTCCAAATAATTTCTCTTCAGAAAACCAAAGGCAGCATCTAAACAATGCAAAACAACTTGAAATACAACAGTATAAATTTAAACGTAAAATTAGAAGTTAACAAAAAGCTACGTTTGCTGCTTCATAGCATAAACTACACTGAGCTTTTATGCTTCTCCGCTGCCTTGTCTGTCTCAGGATGATGTCCAGTAATATGTGACAGTATGTTCCTCACATTACCACAGTGCTTAACTTTCGCAGGACAGAGTTTACATCAGGGGTCTCCAAATCCAGTCCTGGAGAGCTACTATCCAGTCGGTTTTCTATCCTACCTGGCTTCTGATGAGCCACAGCTGTTCTCAGGTAAATACCAGGAGCAGGTGTGGCTCATCAGAAACCCAGTAGGATAGAAAACTTACTGGATAGTAGCTCTCCAGGACCGGAGTTGGAGACCCCTGGTTTACATACAGCATGGCTCATGTCGGTCTCCTTTTTGCCGTTTAAATTTTGAAAGCTAAAGTTCCTCCATACATTGGATTTAAACTGTGGAAGAGCAGCACAAATCTCTGCTATGTCGTCAGCCATTCCTGTTAATGCTAGACAAAGTGAGAAAACAACTGGCTCCTATTACATGGGTTGCTGTGCTGCTTGTCAATTCGGGAAAAGTTTAGAGCACACCACCTGTAGGGTTATGGAGAAACTGCAACGTTTCTCCACCTTGAATCCAAACACACATACAGTGGTACCTCGGTTCTCGAACTCACTAGAGCTCTAATTTCTTTAAAGTAGAACAAACCAGTTTGACCTAGCACTCGATCTGAATATCAGAAGTCGAACCGTGAACGCTGACCTAATATAAATTGTAAGCCCCAGGAAATGAGTCATACTACAATGCAATTCTTACTTGAATGCCTTATTCACAGACTGGACGATTAACCAAATAAAGCAGCACAACATTACAGTAACTAACAATAAATAAACCACTAACTTACGTGTACTATTACAGCATTTATGTAATTTATTTAAACTTTATTTTACCAGGTAAATTAACTGAAAACCAGTTCTCACTGCTTTACGTGATATTCCGGAGAAATAGCAGATTACGCATCAGAACTGCCTGAGATACAAACGTCATGCGTGTAACTAAACTCTTCAGCCAATAAGGGCAAAGGTGTGTCGTCACGGAGACGGCTCCAGTTTGTGCAGCCGGGTGAGAGGTCGCAATGCATCTAACCGTAATGCATTGCATCAGGATCAGAATGCGTTGCTTTAAGCCAGTGCTGTAAGCAAGTCGAACGCACCCAATGACCGGACTGGGGAAACAAACTGAAACGCGGACTTAATACAGAGGACTAATGACAACAACCAGAAACAGCTGATCACATGGGGATCCCTCACGAGGTTAACGAGGGGGCGTGGCACACGGAGCGGACGATCGGATCGGGGCAGGACAGGGGTAATGTTGGAATAAGATCTTTATCGTTTTGGAAGCCATTAAGAAAAAAATGCTCTTCTTGTTTTATCCTGTTCATTTTGTGTTTAAATGCTAAAAAAAAATAATCATATAGGTGTAATTTTGGGGGGCCGGGAACCAATTAATTGGTTTTCCATTATTTCTTATGGGAAAAATTCGATCAGAACTCGAACTTTTTAGGATTCGATCCTAAAAACTGTGATACATAACTGCATGCAAAATTAATCTTGTATTACGTAAGAAGGTTACCAGTTCAAATCCCATGGTCAGCAGAGTGATGCCACCACTGATAAATGCCCTCAACCTCGATTTCTCCATTAACCGACTGACTTCTTTCTCAGTTGGGATCAATAAAGTTGATCTTGGATAAAGTGTGTATCAGTCATGAATAGCTCGTGCATACCTTAAATGCACGTCTACCTTCTCTCGTTTCGGTTTTAATAACACTATAAAAGTGTTGGAAAACTTCACACAACACGAGCCCCCTACGCCTCCTTCAATCATTTAATCCCAAACGATTAAAAGTAACCTCTGGAATTTACTCAAACTCCTATTTTCTAAGTGGGTCAAGGCGCTTCTAAACACAATTTGATTAATTTACCGTAGCTTAATAGAGGACAACACAGAGATCACTGGGCTTTTTCAAATTCCACTCCATCTTGACAGATGTCAATTATGTGTCGTAATTTACTAGAAGAGTGATTCAAAACAAGAAGGGAAAGAAACGCAGAAGCAAAGACTGTAAACAGAGCCGGTTATGTGTTGATGCACATACTCTGTGGGTGTATTACGCATTACTTGCAAATCATTTAAAAAAAAAAAAATAATAATAATATAAATATAATTAGTACAGATAATCTCCGACGGATTAGTATAATTAAATGTACGCCTAGAAGAAGTTCTCAGTCCATTAATCACTATAGGACTACCACAGTAATTATTACTATTATTATGATAAATTGTGTTATTTCTGAAGCGTTTTATCGTTGTTGTTATTGTTGCTTCAAACACGTAACAGAAACATAGCGTACGCCGTACAGAACCCGAACAGCGATTGGACTACTAACCTATCATGATACAGTTGTTAACTTGTTGCTAAACACTTACCCCAATCAAATACATTTTGTCGAGACTAAAATTGGAAATTATCGTCACCATTTCCTTCTCAGCCAGAAACTCAACCTCAGAGGGATCCATCTGAACCATCAGTAACGGAAAGACTCCGACAAGGAAGACCCGGGGCTCACAGGGAGAAATCCCGCGCAATATTCATAGTACGCCCTTTCACCCGGAAGTGGTATCGGAATGCCCTCTTCTCACCCGGAAGTGAAATTGGATGTTCTTATAGATTTGGTATCAGAAATGATATTATTCTGCTTATTTTGTACACAGTACAAAGATTAAATGAAATGTATTGTTCCGATTTCCTAAAAAATCAAATGGTCAATTTCGTGGAACTTTAATGTTCTGTCACTCTCTAGGGCGATCGCCTCATACCAAGGTTTCCAGCTTTGGTCAACAGGCTGGAGTGAGATTTTCAATTCGAGACAAGTCTGCACACTCATGCACTCGCATTTACATGTATGTAACAGTTTTAATAACTTGCAAATCGTCTGTAGACTTTGCAAACTACCCCAACGATTTTGATGTAGCTAATTAAAGAGTTATAACGGAACAACATAGATTTGCCCTAAGATTTCGTGCGTGAGCGCGTCATGCCAGATGCGTAGAAGTTGGAAACCCTGAGATACACAGGATCCCTTGTAGTTGTGACGCTTTTAGTTTAGGTACAGTACGTAGGATTACTAACATCCTTCATACTACTTACTTCATTCTCCCTTAACCATAACACTAATTCTAAAGTCAAAGTTCCCTAAAAAATCGACTGTGGTCGAATGATATTTCTCATCAAAACCAGTGTGGTCCTTCCATTATGTCCTTGAATCATCTTTTCTCAGATGCCGATTCCTTTAAGGACATTTCTGCAGAATGTGTATTACATTGTAAGTAGTAAAACATGCAAATGAACTTTGATAAGAGAAGATAACGCAGACCATAATGCTTATTACAGACAAATATTGGCTAGTCAGAAGATCGTGGGAACAGTTGTTGTCAAAGGTATTTATTTGCAAATTCAAAGTCTTTTAAGTTGCATTTACATGCAGCCTTAAATGACTTCTCAAAACTGATGTTTTAAACCAATATTAGTTTTAATTAAGCCAGAGAAATACTTAAATAATGAAACTATTATCAAAGCTTTCTAATCTTTAAACACAATCTACCATTAATACCAAACATTGGTCAGGAGATCCATTCTCCTTGGATATAAATATTAAGACTAAATAAAGAACATAATGAGATGCATTTAAACATTTTTCCCACACAATAATTTAACACTTCAACCTAAATTTAGTTTTGACCTATATACTTTTTATATGGCTACAGTATAAATGTAAGCAAAAGAAATGTTAAAATTTATAATGCAATAATTTATGTTTAACTAAGCCCATGTACAACCACCTATCCAAGGGGGTGCTGTTAACCATTTTTAGTTTAATTAGGACACTAATGTCTTGCTCGTTAACTGATTCCCAAAATACACAGATCTCTTTTTGTAACCTGTAGGTACTTTTGAAATTATACCTAGGGTTGTGCATGAGGCCATTTTATGAAGGCAATTCACTGGAGACAGAAACATGTGATTTGAGTTCTGTTTTGGCAGACATGGCTTTGAAGAGGGACACTGTGCCCTTATGTTTTAGCACAGGTGCAGCACAGATTTGTTGATCTCTGGATTTGTCCAGTCATTCCGTAGGTCATCCAGGTGGTTGTCAAAGTCTATCAGGTTCTCATAAGACCTACTCTCCAAGAGAGCCGATGTAATCTTCCGAGCCTCCGCCCAGTCCTCACAGCAGTCTCTATACAGCAAGTTACATTGAGTCCTTACAGGAGGTCATGTCCGGTGGCAAACAATGAATATCACTAACTGAAGAGTTAAACAGGGCAATATTATGAGTGCAACTCATACACTAGTGGCACTACATATATGAATGACACAACCCCAAATATATTCAAGGTTACTAATAAATCAGAATAACTGTTAGCAAAATTATTATATTTATAGTAAATACAATCTATACTTCAATGACAATATAAAAAAAAATGTACTTACACATCAGCATCCCGACATTTCCATTTGTTTTCATGATGTTCAAAAATAGTAAGTATAGGTTCATAGCAGTCCAGGGTAAATCTGCTGTTATCCACCTAAAAGAGAGTAAGATACAAACAATTCTTTATGAAATTTTTCAGATTTTCCCTAAATTGGCAAATATTTAACAAATCCACGTACCACTATTAAAGCCGCTTCACTGAAGTTCTCCGAGATCCTGGCCGCTACTTTCTCAGCAACTTGGTTAGGCCTGAAAGGGAAATATCGAAACCTATTAAATCGGTCAATGAAAGCAATAATAATGTCCTGTCCAGGTTCGTATATGTAGCATACCTGAAATCTTTGATCCGCTCGTTAGCCTGGTAATACCCTGCGATCACATATCTGTTTTCCTTGCACCAGGTATCGATCTGGAAGGCAACAGGATATTATATTTAAGTCTGTAGAGCAGTGGTTCCCAACCTTTTTTAACTCACGGCCCACACAGCCAAACACATATGTTTCCGCGGCCCACTGCAAAAGAATTGAAACGATCCCGCTTTTTGTGTCGGGTTAAATAAGTACTCGGAAGCAAGGCTGTTAATTGTCTTTATTGAATAAACTGGTAATTTATTTCATTATATATCAAATTATGATTTATTTGATTTTGACTAGACATTTTTTATTATATTAACAATATTACAATTTCTATTAATAATAATTGGCGGCCCCCCTGCAATACCGTCGCGGCCCACTAGGGGGCCGCGGCCCACAGGTTGAAAACCACTGCTGTAGAGTATTGTAGTTTTAAAGTAACACATACGTAGACAACTTTACCCAAAATAACACTTAAGTGTGCAACTTCACCTAATAAAGCAGATTCACTTAGTAAATCCATCTACAGTTCATTGCGAAGGGTCCACAGAGTCATGCCACAGAAGCGATGAGATGGCATCGCTACTCGTGCAAAGGCACTGAAAATGCTCTCACCAGATTGAGTGCCACCTCCAGCATGGGCGCCAAGGCGAGCGTTCCGTGGAAGAGAGGGACGCAGTCAACGTAGAGCACAGGCGCCGGCTGGCCGTCTCTCCTGCGCTCCTTCTGCTTTTCGGCCACCAGGAGCCCGTTGACCGCACAGTGCGGGTACTTGGCGGCGTGCAGCAGCATCTTGCAGTACGCCTGGGTGGTCAGCTTCACGGTCATCGCTGGAGCTCTGCCTGCCTGTCGCTTTCGCTAATAACTTCTATCAAGTTATCGTAAAGAAACTTCAGCTCCCTAGCGAACTAGCTGTCATACCGACACGGGAAACCTGGCACCTATATACTGTGTCTAAATAAATAAAAATCTTTGAAAGCGTGAGTGCTTAAACTCTACTGTTTAAAAACGACGCGCTAATAAAAACGACCTAATCAGTCATCCGCTATTTTCTCGCTAGTCATTGACACCGGTACCGTAAAGCATGGCGCATTGTGAAACGGCGAGATCCGCCATTGCGGCTCAAAGCGCCTCGTAAACGAGAAAAGCGGAGCCAACATGGTTTCTTAACTAATGAGTTTCATCACGAAGCCATGTCGTAAAATATTATTTTGTACCATTTTTCAAATATCCCTTTTTATTCCAAACATTATATTTGAAATTATACCAAAGTGTACTTACTATATTTTCCTTAAAAACCAATTTTCAGGAAAGCACAAGCTTAATCGTTTAACCAGCTGACCTTCTGCGTTAAATTACGTCATCGCTTCACTTATTGTTGTACTGTTTAAAAACTGCTCACATGTCAACTTAAGCTCAGTATGTTTACGAAATAATAGTCAGATATACAAATAAAAATATTGTAATGCCCATTACTCATCAAAAAAAAAATCAGATAAGTGTTTTTTTAGAACCTTTATTTTATTTTTTAAACACACGTTCATACAAAGGATCCACATAAAGGATTCAGTGGAGTAAATTTGCTGCCATAATCGTGTTTCGGTATGCGTTATATAACAGGCCATTTCTTTGGAAATATTATGTTGCAGTTTTTAGAATTTATTTTTTTACTTAATTGCAATTGCCTCCTTTTATGGCGTTTGCATGTTCTTCCTGTGTTGTATGGCTTTGCACTGAATACTCCAGGTTCTCCCACTATCCAAAGATATGCAATGAGGTTAAATGGTGGCTCTAAATTATTAGAACATGTATGTATTCTGTGATGGACTGGCATCCCATTCAGGAGATATATATTGTAAATGATTGCTAAAAAATTTTTAAACAAACAGTTATAACATAGTTATTACATGCAGTTATACATATATTCACATAGACTTTTAAATAGTACATTTACAGCTGCATACGTTACTCACGTATTAAGAGTTAAGACAATGTTTGAAAATATTATCGGATATTATACTGGAGCCTTTGAGTAGGACAAGGCATCGGAACTGAAGATCCGCCTGGAGTTTCCTACCGGGAAACGTAGTTTGCTTGCACACGACATGAGGTGTGACGTAAGATCCGCTGTCCTGCCAATGCTTTGAAAGTGTAACTTCCGTTGTGCGCTTTCTTTACGATTCCCGGAAAGACAAGAGGTGGGGTGCTGTGCAGTTGTTTAATGTTTCTGTTTGTTCGAAATTTACTGTAGTGCTTCATAATTGCAATGGTTATTTACACAGTGCTCTATTTTAGATATTTTATTGTTAGTAGAAAAGTTGCTTTTGTTTAGTATGTTTCGCACAAAACCGTTAATTTCTTTATCCGCGTAGCGTGAGGTTAGTGACATTGAGAAGGTAGGATGATATTAGCGAACTAGCAAAGGAAGCGAAACACCAATTTATCTGAGTGAACCCTCGTATTCGTCGATATTTGGTTGCCGATGATGTTTTTGTGATGTAGATTTCATTAGGCAATAGAATATTGCTTAAGTTTGCTTATATTTAGGAGGGTAATTTGTGTGGTAGAATGTGACCTTGTGATTCTCCGGCTGGAAGTGAGGAGGCAGCTTGAGCTAACCTTTGCCTAGTGCTAACCGTATAGCCTGCTTTTAGTTATCGTTTCATCAAAACCAATTGAAAAACCCATTCGTGTAGCTCGAACGGAATTTGTAATTACCCAGTAAAGTAAGTATGTTCCTTTAAGTACGATTGCCTATTGCGTTGCCTTTTAACAGACCTTTAAGTTATGGCCGGGTGAAATAAGATCTCGGTGACCATGATAAAGAGGAATATGTAACATAAGCGCAATCTTAGTGCCAATTTTCAATTAACTTTATATGTCGAATTGATGATAATTTGTTATATTTGTTTTTTAAAAATGTTTAATATTAATTTGTGAGTAATATATTAATTAATATTATTAAAAAACATAAAGATGAAACATAAACATGAAATAACAAGTAGCAGTTGCCTACAGTTTATCTACCAACAAAGTGTCAAATAGTAGGTTGGTGCCGCCGCGAGTTGTCGACACACAAACCAGCGCCAAGAAATCGTTTGATTTTGCTCAATATCGTCTCTGGAATACAAAATATTTACATACAGCAAAAGGCAGATGCATTTTGGTGACTATGTCTTGTTCGGTTTTCTCGTCCTCACTCAGTTTTGCTAAATATCTCCGTTACACAGTCTAATAGGGAAGACAAACATGATTGACTGCCTGGAAGACCGCATGCAGAGCTCATGCAAAAGAAGGCAGTAAAGCTCAAACTGATTTTTTTTAACATATACTCTCGTTGTCTTGTAATGATCGTTTGGCTTATGTTTTGTTCCCTATAATAGTCAAATGTTTTTAGTTATTGTGACTTATCTTAACTCAGCTGACACTCGCGGTTCTTACGATGTGAAGACTGCATGTGTAACATGCGATGTCAGTCATAATATTGCACATTGTCCAGTTCTGTCAAGAATGATTGTATTTAGTGGATCGCTGTGCATCGTAAGCCTCCTTGTCATTCACTAGCTGCAAACTGCAAAAACCTTTAAATTGCAGTAAATTATATCAGGCAGACTTGTAGATTAGTCATGGAAAATGAGAACTGTGCGAATATTCCTTCTGTATCAAGCAGCAAAACAAAGTTTTAGCAAAACGTGCTTGGTTTAATTTGCTTTGACAACGCGCATCCTGAGATGTAATTATTGCGCATGCGCACGTCGCGATTACGACGCTAAAATGATGTGTCGTGCAGCCCTAGACTGAATGATAGTCCCAATTAATTCCTCTATTTCCTCCCCAGAATGTTGGCATCCAGGGTATTATCACTCGTGGGAAAACGGGCCCTCTCCACCTCCGTTTGCCTGCGTGGTAGCCATGGTAAGCTGTGCTGCCGCTGACAGTTTGAGTCTCTCTTCTTTTTCCCCCACTCTTATATTACAGGGGCAGATAGTGGTGTATGGGGCTGATTTGTGGACTTTCCTGAAGATGTCTCTTTCTGGCCCTGGAATGGAAGGATCCCCATGCAACTATTAAAAGCTATTGAATGTAAATGCTAAGCTGTGTTCAATACACAGCTTTCTGGGAAGACATTTCAATTAACATTTATTGGAGAAATTAAACCCTTGGCTGAATATATTTAAAACATTAATTGTGGGGGGAATTCCAGAGTCTGTTGGCTATCTTTCTTTTGAAGAAAACCTTCAAAAAAAAGTGCTCTGTGCATTTCCTCAGGAGTTGCCAAGGTGGAAGACTATGCACTTCCGGCGTATTTCGATAGACTGGATGCACCCCTTCCTGAAGTCAAGTACGTGACCAGTCTGAGTGCAGAGCAGAAGGCTCTGAAGGAGAAAGAGAAGGGATCCTGGGCCAAACTCTCCAGCGAGGAGAAGATAGCATGTATGTATCTGTATACACATTTGGTGATGTGTATAATATTGGGATATGTCAACATTTATTTTTCACCATGCTCCTGCAAATTCATTCTCCCTATGGTAGTTTTATGACATTAAATTGGCAAATACTACCCCTCGTACCCTGGTTGTGTACGCCTTTCTTTTCCGTTCCTCATCCCTTCTAAAGACTATTTGTTGGAAATTGACATCAGCCACTAATCAGTTGTGATTTGTGTATTTATTAGTGTAGGCTGATTTCTGTGCTTTCTGCGTTTTTCTTTTATCTGTTCTGTTCTTGACAGTGTACCGCATTAGTTTCAACAACAGCTATGCTGAAATGAACGAGGGATCAGGCGAGTGGAAGAGCGTCGTGGCTGGGATCTTCTTCTTTCTTGGTTTCACCGGCCTGCTTGTCGCCTGGCAGAGGAAGTTTGGTAGCTGCTCTTTTTTTCACATTGATTTTTAAGAAATAGACAACATGTTGGAAGAAATCTACATGTATAAAAATTTCTGAATATTATATTGAGCATGGCCAAAGTTGAACCCTCTTGAAGGTTGGACCGAATGTCTAGTGTGAACTTGTGACATGGGTCTTAAAATCTCCTGGGTATCTTGTGAGATTAAAATTATTAATTCAAAATGGCAACTGAACTAGCATTAGCTTGGAAGATTCGTGACTGTGAAAAACGGTGACACTTTACATTAGCACCTTCATAATGCATTCATAACGCACTCTTGGAACACTCAGTGCACCTTCATAACACACTCTTGGAAAATTAATAAGCAGTATGTATGAATACATTATGAAGGCATTATGGGGGTGTACTGATTTTTCTAAGAAAGCACTATAAAGGCATTGTGAAGGCGCAATTAATGTAAAGCGTTGCCTATAAAACTTAATTTCCGGTTGAACAGGAGAAGTTCCTGCCAAAATTCTGCTTTGAGTATTTACAGGAAACTTGCAGAGCTGTCTGGTCTTTCCGGTTCTTGGGTTTAGCCCCAGGGCATCATACCTTATGTTGATACTCTACTGGAAATGCCGCCCTGTGTGGTACAGCCTGGTACAGCCTGGTACAGGGCCACAGGGCGGAGAGGAACGCTATGCTTCCGGAGGCTTCAACTGAGGCTTTTCCTTTCCTTAAGTCAAAGCGTGCTGTAATCTCTAATCGTTATGGAAAATTCTGCTGATGAACACGATGTTGTGATTTTGGCGGGTGTTTGCTTGCTAGTATATTAGCAGAATATCTATCTGAAATAATTATGCTCCTACTTATTACAGGATAGTAGGACCTTATGTGAATTGTCCCAGTTTACATTGCTTATCTGTATCCTGACATGGTTTCCATGTGTAATGTTGTATGACCGCTCATTGCTCTGTGTGTCTGCTCTCAGTGTACGGCGACGTTCCCCACACCTTCAGTGACGACTGGAAGCAGGCTGAGGTACAGCGCATGCTGGACATGAGGATCAACCCCGTCGAGGGTTTCTCCTCCAACTGGGATTACGAGAACAAGCAGTGGAAGAAGTGAAGCGCCTGGATTAATTAATTTGTGTATCATTTCTCAATGTTACCTCAGTCAGATACATTCTGGAAGGCTTCTTCCTCTTAAGGTTCACATGTAACTTAAAGCAAATAAAATTTCTGTGTTTCCCTGAATTGATCTCTATCTGTGTTAAATGGGTATGAGATTTCCTTTTAGCACACAAATTTCTTTACACAGCTGTAGGGGCCCTTGTTTCTAGGTTTTGGAAACATCGTTGCAAATGGGATTTCACACCCTCTCAAAGGTGTACACCTGCAAATGGACACTTGAATTAGTTGCCTTTTTTCATTCATTTTTGCTGACTCTTCAGCCCTGTAACAATTGCTTTTCCCCATGAAGAAACTCAGCACTACCAGTCCATAAACGTGAATAGCTAAATAAGTGTTTTTGTGCTGAATATATGTAATTCTTTTCCATATTCAAACCCATTTAGTTGACCAAGGGTAGGGAATCCTGGTCCTGGAGTCCTTCCTGGTCTCTGATGAACCCCATGTGGTCTCGGGCAGATAGTAACTCATCAGGTAGGTAGAAAACCTGCTGGATGCCAGCACTCCAGGATCAGGGCTGCCTACTCCTGTAGTAGACAGTTGTGACATTGACACTCCAGGATCAGGGCTGCCTACTCCTGTAGTAGACCGTTGTGACACTGACACTCCAGGATCAGGGCTGCCTACTCCTGTAGTAGACAGTTGTGACATTGACACTCCAGGATCAGGGCTGC